TGCTCTTGTGAATATATACACATGTAAGTGCATACATAGGTAAGTAGATTAATGTGTACATGTCTGGGTTTATATATAAATGCACAGATAGTTTCTATGCTTGTAAATACTTGAAGACGTTAAAATTGACTATAGAAACTAAAGTCATTTATTTCATCCATTGACTTTCCTCATAACTTGGCTATCATTAATCTATATTGCCAAAGCAAGAATAGATGTTACATAAATACATCCTGTGTGTTAAATCCCTGCAAGTTATTACTTAATGTCAAAGCAATTAGCCAAAAGCAGTGGTGGTGACAAAATTACTCTCCATAATTTTATTTTCATTACACTAGTTACTAAACATGGTATATTCCCCAGATTTTATGCTCTATAGTGACCACACTCCTGCTGTTACCACATTATCTCCCATTTTGAACCTCTCACTCCAGCCCTTTAATCATTAGTAGTCTGGGACAGAAGTCTTCCTGCAATTTCACTATTCCAGATATACATAATCAACACCTAGCTTGATGTGAACATAACTTTGGGTGACTCTCTTTCTGAGAATGGTTTAAATTAATTACTATGTTTACCTGAATTTATATCCACTTTTGAAAGCATCCATTTAATATCTTAATTTATTTTGTCTGTGTGCGTGTGTGTGTGTATGTATGTGTGTGTGTGTGTGTGTGTGTGTGTGTGTGTGTGTGTCTTTCCCCTGGATTGCTATGTAACACATTTGTGGATTGCACAAGGAGGACTGAATAGGACACCAATTCTCTGAATTCTGGAATTCAGTGACATTGAAAGCCATCATGAGGTCCTCTGACTTCAGCCTGGGGTCTGCAAGAACATAGAGTGTCCTTAACTACTGAGCCATCTCATCGAGCCCCAGGTGGATCTGAATACTACAAACAACACAACTTCATTTTCACTATGGCTGCAAGGACTTCACATTCTATGTATATCATGTCTCCCTCACTCTTGACAATGGTGTGGGACACCATCCTTGGTTCACTAATGTTCTGCACACAGTGCTGCAATCAACACTGATGGGCAAGTACCTCTTTAATAAATATATTGATTTCGTTGACGAGGTGTACATGAACCATGTGGTAGGGCAGTTTTGGGATTTGCAGGACCCTCCATACTGGTATCCAATCACTCTGGAAAACTTGCCATACACAGCAGCAGATTATATGCATAGTATTCTATCAGTGGTGTTTCCCATTTCATTTGAAGTTGGCCTTGGTTGGCAGCTCAAGCAAGTTCACTAGGTGTTTTCCTGATGCCTCCTAAACACTCTCATTTTTCAGCAAATCTGTGAGGACTGTGTTTTATTGCTCCTTTACTAAGAGGGTTAACTTATTTCTCATGATTTACATATGTTATCTAATTGTAAATAATCCACATATTAATCCTCTGAGGTATCAGTAGCAAAGATTTCATCCAGTTCTCTAACACATACCCTCATGTAACTCCTTTTCCTGACAATTAAATCTTTCCTTCCCCGAGAGACCATTTGGCATATCCTGCCAGTATTTCTGGAGTGGTTGGAGATTTCCTCCATTCAGGCATGTCCTTAAACCTTCAACTCTGCTGTGCTAGGATATAAAAGTTTCAGAGTTTCTTACACATTGACATTTCACAGGGTGAAATATAGGAAGATGAATCCATTTATTGATAACATGCTTTTATTTTCTTGACTGATATACCATAACTATGTTGCATCAGGGTAGCCTTGAACTCACATTAATATGCCTGTCATTGCCTCTGCTCTGCCTCTGCCTAAAACACTGCCTGTTATTCTGCCACAAGAGTTTTGGAACTAAATGAATGCTGCACTGTTCCCAGTGGAATCATTTTCTTCCTGAACATGTGGATTTCCAAGTCTCCAAGCATAATTTGATTAAGAGGCCATGTGAGAATCAAGGTATGGTTTGGTACATACCTAAAATCCCATGAGATTTAACTGCACATGTTTAGACCTGGAGCTCAACTCACATACTTGTCTTTGTTGTGAAAATCTGTGGCTCAAGCAGAGATCATAGGAATGCTTTCACTACTGCTGTAGGGACCTAAGTGCAGAGGTGCACTGACAGGAGGGTAGCATCTCACTTAACAGGTCTTGCCTTCTTCCTTGAATCTTTTTCAGTGATGGAAATGGATTGACATTTCTGGCCAGATGCTCCTTCTGCTTCAGGGGAGTACTCCTCAAATCCTGCACCCAGGATGCCCAGATGAGAACAACACCTGTCTATGGGGACAGATCCTCCAGAATTCCTGGCCTTGATTCCAGCTGCAAGCCTAGAACAAACAGAGAATAAAAACTTGCTTAAGATGAAAGCCTCTGGATGACTATGTGGGCACACACACACACACACACACACACACACACACACACACAAACACCAAGAGCAATAAGTACTGTTTTCACATCCAAATATGAAGCAGGTCCTGCACTAAACTGAAGCTAGTAACGTAACACAGAACCTATTTGTCAGTGTCAACTTGGGAAGTAGCAGCTTCTCTTAAGATGTTTCTATTTCAAATTATCCATAGTAAGGTTCTAGATGTGAATGGAGTCACTACAATGTCACTGAACATCAAATTCTCACAGATTCATGCATTGAAAAAATGCATACAGATCCATGATGCAAAGTTTACTGCTCTTTGTTATGAAGAGGAAAAAATTTCAGGTGTCAGTTTCATAAAATGGATTTTGTAAGTAAGTAAAATATTTCCTGACACATTTATATAATTTTTCAATGTACTAGTTTATTCTTTTCTGTGTATATTTGATGTTATTTACCATTTTTCTATAACTGTCCTCAACATTGTGACAATCTAACCTGTTAGGGGATCCTACTATATCTGTTATATAAGAATACCTCACCTGAGAACATTCTTTAAAAATACAGATTCACAGGCCTGGGAAGATGACTCAGGAGTTAATAGCACTTCATGCTTTTCCAGATTCCAGCACCCACATTGGGTGACTCAAAACTACATGTAACTCAGGATCCAACGGAATGCTCTTCTGACCTCTATGGATACTGGCAAACATGCACACAAACATCCCCTCCCGCCTCCCACACACAAGTTTTTAAACTCACTTTGTAACACATAGATTCTGGGTACACTTCTCCTTCTGTGAGGTTATTCTCCTAAGAGGTGCCTAGGAATCAGAAATTTTGAAGCCTTTAATTTACTTTTCCAGACAGGGAATCCTTGTGTATGCTTTGAGAGCCTCTAACTCTTTTTCCTCCTGGCTCAGCTATCTGAGTGCTGGGATCATAGCACTCTATCATCCATGTGATAAATTTGATTTACCAAATAAATCAGCACATACTTCATTTCCTCAGTCCATTCACATCAAATACTGTTCTGAGAACTTTGCTGTCATAAATAATAATCACAAAAATTCTAATAGATAATGGAGTGGGGATTGGATGGGGGTCTAAGGGGGTTGGGAGAGGGAGTGGGCATGGAGGGTAGGGAGAGGGAGCTGACACTGACTTTGGAAGCAAGCTTGTTTCTAATTTAAATATAAAATAAAATAGTGTTAAATAAAAATTCTAATAGATATCTCTCTTCATGCACTGTTTTCTGAAGATGATAAAGTCGGGGTACCTCTTTCCTACAAAGCAAATGTTTTAATAAACCTTGTCTCTCTGGGTACCTGCCAAACTACTGCAATCTGAGAATCACAGGGAACAGTGACAGATACCCAAAGTTATGCTAGTTATTTGAAAGGGGGTTCATTAAAAGATCCCCAATAATTGGGCTAGAGAACTGGCTCAGCATCTAAGAGCATCTGCTATCCTTATTGAGGATCACGGTTCAAAACACATTGAACACATAAAGGATTACAACAATCTGTATAAGTCCAGTTCCAAAGAATCTGGAGCCCTCTTTCTGGTCTCTTCAGGAACCAGCCACACAAACAGTTCACATACTTACAATCAGTTAAAACACTATAAAACAGAGCCAGGGATGATAGCATACACATGTAATCTCAGGACTGAGGAGACTGGCAGGATGATCTCTGTGAGGTTCAGACCTGCCTGGTCTACAAGTGAATTCAAGGACAGCTAGGGTAGTTGGACAGAGAAATCCTGTCTCAGAAAACCAGAAAGAAAAATCACTATAAAGTAAAAACAATTCTTATAAAAAGAGAGAATGCTAATAACCTGAAAGAGACTGGTGTTTGCCTGTGTCTCTATAATCACAGAAGCCACGATGCTTTTGAATGTACAACCCATAAAATGACTCCCGTATTTTCTGTTGTCTACCCCCAAGACCCACTCCCTGCAGCTCTGAGAGCAAAACTCAGGACCTCAAGTTGCAAGTGATCTTGCACTGATATACACCTCTAGTCCACTATTTTCTTATGCTTATCTAAGTTCATAATTGTGAGGGAGGAATAGCTCAGTGGTACAGAGCATGTGTTGGTTCCTTGGTTGATCCTAAGCACCAAACATTAATTGACTTTTTAAAGAGAACAAAATGTTCACATATAATAATCTAATGTATGACACAGTAACTATAGTAGCATCATATACTTGAAAAAATCACTACAATTTTAAATGTCTCACTACAAAAACAATTATATGAGATTATTGGCTTACTTAGCCTGATTTCACCATTTTATATATATGAATTTCAAAGTGTCATTTAAAATGCCATACATATATGCAATTTTTGTCAAGCAATCTTTTAAAATGTTTTAATCCGGACCCGAGCACGAGCCAAGCCTAGCCGAGCCGGGCCGGAGCCGGAGCGATGGGGATCTGGCGGGGCCCTGCGAGCATCCGGGGCTCAGGCGCAGCCGCGGGCCTGGGCGTTGGACTCACGCAGACAGCCAAGATGGAGACGTGGCGCTGTGTGAGGATGGGCTATGGCCGCTGTGTGGCGGGGCAAGGCCGGTACTCCATGTTTCCTTATCCTCTGAAGAGTTTGGGTCAAGATTGGACTACACCGTTGGAGGATCTGCAGAGGAACAATAAAAAGGAATTGGGAGTATTTATGTGGCCATAATAAAGAAAAAACGAAGGACCTAGAAGACAAAAACATTGCCTCCATGTGCGAGGACAGTGGGGAAAAGTTTGACTTTTCAGTGATGTCTTACAATATACTCTCACAAGATTTACTGGAAGACAACTCGCATCTCTACAGACACTGCCGGCGCCCAGTGTTACACTGTAGCTTCTGCTTCCCCAATATTCTGAAGGAAATCAAGCATTTTGATGCAGATGTGCTTTGTCTGCAGGAAGTTCAAGAAGACCATTATGGAACGGATATCAAGCCAAGTCTGGAATCACTGGGTTATCATTGTGAATATAAGATGAAGACAGGAAGGAAACCCGACGGCTGTGCCATTTGTTTCAAACACTCCAGATTTTCACTCCTGTCAGTAAACCCGGTGGAGTTCTGCCGCCGTGTCATCCCTCTGCTGGACTTGGACAACATTGGACTGGTGTTACTCCTGCAGCCCAGCGTCCCACGTGCAGCCTCCCCCTCCATCTGCATAGCTAACACACATCTGCTGTATAGCCCACGGCGAGGAGATATTAAGCTCACCCAATTGGCAATGCTGCTTGCAGAGATTTCCAGTGTGGCCCATCAGAAAGACGGTAGCTTCTGTCCCATCGTCATATGTGGTGACTTTAATTCTGTTCCTGGTTCTCCACTCTACAGTTTCATAAAGGAAGGAAAGCTGAATTATGAAGGACTTGCGATTGGAAAGGTATCTGGCCAGGAACAGTCTTCACGGGGACAGAGAATTTTATCTATTCCAATTTGGCCCCCAAACCTAGGCATCTCTCAGAACTGTGTATATGAGGCACCGCAGGTTTCCAGAGTAGAAAAGACAGACAGCGGTAGTGATCTGGCGGAAGCACAGCAGGAGAAGACAGAGGGTCTGATGGCAGCTGAAAACGTGTCTTCACGTCTCCATCACCACTTCAGCTTGTCCTCTGTCTATTCTCACTACCTTCCCGACACGGGCCTTCCAGAGGTGACCACCTGCCATTCCCAAAGCGCCATAACTGTTGATTACATTTTCTACTCTGCAGAGAAGGAGGACGCTGCGAGGGGACCAGGAGCTGAAGATGCTTTGGTTGGGGGCTTGAAACTTCTAGCTAGACTGTCGCTTCTTACAGAACAAGACCTGTGGACTGTGAATGGACCTCCCAATGAACACAACTCTTCAGACCACCTGCCTCTACTGGCTAAGTTTAGGCTGGAACTCTGACTCTGTTGCTCATTTATACAATTTCCTGTCTACTTGAAGGCTGTAAAGATATTTTTAACTGTTTGCATGCTGTCCATTTTTTTGCTGTGGGGTTCAGGATTTGCTATATGCTTGAAACAGATTGGAAGAAACAAATTTACAATGTTTTTTTTTTTTTTGCTTTGTACGAGACAGGGTTTCTCTGTATTGTTTTGGAGGCTGTCGGTCCAGCCTGGCCTTGAACTCACAGAGATCTGACTGCCTCTGCCTCCCTGGTGCTGGGATTGAAGGCATGTGCCACCACCACCCGGCACAAGTTTTTTTTAACGAAATATTTTCCTGAAATGTCTAAACACTTTATTGTAAAAATATGTAAATAACTTCTAAGTCCTGGTAAAATCAATAGCATTTTTAGAAAATGTAGTTCATCTCCTTGGCCATCCAGATGAACCTAGTGCTTTCCGGTGGACCTGTCATGACTTGCAAGGCTCAGGTTGTTGCCTTGTCTGGAGGCTGAATTTCACTGGGAAAACCCTGTGCTTGTTGAGAGCTCATCAGCTCTTAGATGTCACTGGGCCGTTCATCCTTAAGTGTCCAACCCAGTTAGCTTCTGACAGGCTCGATGATGCTCTGGAGTTGTGGGGCACACTGACCCACTTCACTGCCATCCTGAGCTGTGGGCACACCTACATTGTGTTAGGTCCCTCAGAAGAGGGCAGGGCTCTCAGCCTGTAACCTTAGTGTTTGGGAGGTGGAGGCAGGATGAGCCATTTAAAGTCAACTTTAGCAGTTTAGAAAGTTTGAGGCCACCTGGGCTACATGGAACCAGGTCTTAAAAAGATAACAAAAGCCATTTGGTGATGGCCCGTGCTTTTATGGTCCCAGCACTTGGAAGGCAGAGGCAGGCGAATCTCTGAGTTTGAGGCCAACCTGGTCTACAGAGTTCCAGAACAGCCAGGGCTTCACAGTGAAACCCTGTCTTGAAAACACATGCAAAAAAGAGTCAGAGGCCTTTATATAAGCCCACTCCTGTCCTGTACTGGGTGACCCCAAGGAAAGAGATGCCATGCATGTACATGTTGCCTGTATATGGGAGACAGGCAGGAAGACCATCGCATGTCCAGGCTAGTCAGGGCTACACAGCAAGACCTTGTCACAGAGACAGACAAAAAGATGGCAGATTCTGGCTTGTACTCTGTCCTCCTGAGTTTCCCTTTGTGTTTAATGACAGTAGAAGGTCCTCGGGTCAGGAGTGACATTTTGTATAAGTATGAGGAGCGGTCTTTGGAAGGAAGCAATAGCTCTACAGCTCTTTGTCCTTTGTCCCCAGTGCAGAAGCCAGAGTGTAGAGTGGCCCAGCTTGTGCCCAGGAGCCCCGCACGCCACAGCCGGCTAACTGTTGGCTGCAGTGTTGAGCATTCTGGTGCAGCGGTGCAGCCATGTGGCATGGCTTACACTGTCCATGAACCCTCACAGCAGGTCTGATAAGCCCTGTACAATTGTCGAGTTAAAGACATAAATGCAAGTAGAGCTCCCCTCTGTTTTCTAAGAAAGTAGAATCAGATTACAGGCATTTTTACTAAGTCCTTACCATGCAGTCAATTACATTTTCTACTGTGAGTTTCATTAATAGAGTTTTAAATTAGACAGTAAGTCTTGGCAATTTAAATTGTAACTCACTGATGACAGTTATTGTAGGTCTTCTAGATGACTCTCTCAGAGGTGTAGATGCAACAGCATGTACCGTGAGTACTTCAGAGAACACAGGCTTTCGCTGGTTTTCATGGACAGCAGTGACCACAATGCCTCGATGCCCAGTTTTCAGTGGTGCTTTGTGGAGTGCTAAGGGTCCTGAGAATTACAGTGGTAACTGTCCCTTTTTAATATTGGGGGGGAGATTTGAGTGAATTAGTATAAACATCACTGTTGGCAAGCTAACATTCCTGAAAACCTGTGTGAAAGTGTTTATATCCTGATGAATATATTATGAGTTTAGGCCCATTTCATTTACTTCACTTTGATACAGTTAACCCATAAATTTCTGTTAGCTCATCAGTGTTAATATGTGATCACAGACACTTTTCACAAGCTTTTAAAGCTCCAGTAAAAATGACCTATTTTCCTTGCCGTTATTGACAGAAGGGTTGGCAGCTCCTCTGGGCCCTGGGCCCTGTGTTTACCTTCCAAGCACAATCTGATTCAGCTGACTGCAAAAGTCGGATCTCACAGTCTGAAGTGTAGTGTAGTGTAGTGTAGTGTGTGTGTGTGTGTGTGTGTGTCTGTCTGTCTGTCTGTGTGTGTGTCTGTCTGTCTAGAAGCCAGAGGTAAGCCCTGGGTGTTGTTTCTCAAGAGCCATCCACCTTTTATTTTTAAGACAGGGTGTCTCACCAGCCTGGAACATACCAAAGTGGGTAAGCTGGCCAGCGAGGCCGAGACTCACCTTCATGTGGGATTACATGTGGATACCTGGCTTCTCATGTGAGTGCTGGGGCTCACACTCAGCTCCTCCTCTAACTGAGCCATCGGCCCAGCTTCAAGCTGGCCAAGTCTTAGATGCAAAGGGAAACTGCAGAGTAATGATATAGTCTACTTTTTGCTGCACCCTTTGCCATCAGGACAATAGGCATGCTCAAAACCTTGTCTCTCAGGATTTAGCATCTGCTAGCTTTTAATCCTTGTTTTAAAAAAGTTATAAGGCATCGAGTCCTTTATACTTTGTCCCTGTAAGCTGTAATAAATTATATTTGCACAAAAAATGTTTTAATCCAACCACTCTTGAGGGGGGTGAGTTTATGACCAATTGATGAACATAGCCAGTTCCTGGACAGCCTCTATAGGGAGACTCTGTCTCATACAAGAGATCATGTATGTATTATTGAGTTCACATGTTGTGTTCCCCAAGGGCACTTTCTCAAGCACACTCTGATGGATGCTAAAATATTTGCAGGCCTTTGTAAATGAAACACATTTAGTGACCATCCTGTAATGTTATCAGCCTGACTTCAAACACTAAATCATATGTGCCTTACCATGTCCTGTGCTGCTTAAGATAAACAAGACACACAATTATCACACAAAGACCTACAGAACCTATGTTTCTTAAACAAGCATGTAGTGCTGTTTGCCCAAGTTTTACTAAGAATTCTTTTTCTCTTTAAAAGGTTGCATAGTGTCTGAAAATCCCTCATGGAATCCATTACCCTCCCTGGGGAGCAGAGGAGGGGATCGAGTGGGTTGTGGGGTTGGGAGGTTTGGGAGGCCAGGGGAAGAGCAGAAGCAGAAAGAAATTGAGAGTAACATGTTAAAAATAAAAAGAAAGGTTTGCTTAGTGTTCACTAGTGAAAACCGCTGCTTTCTCCCAAGTTAGATCCAATAATCATTAGAAATTAAGCGCAGTGTCTGGAAAGAACAAAGGGAACCTGATCAGGCTGGACTCGGCCTTTGGGTCCCAGATGTACAGCCATGAGAATCATTTTTTTTCTTTTACCATACTGACAGAAATCAATGCCGCCAGCCTCAAGGATGCTTTCTGGGTGGGATGCAGTAAAAGAGGCCTGTAAACTCTAATGCATCTGGGGCTGAGATAGGACTATTACATTTCTGAGCACAGTCTGGGCTACATAGGGAGACGTTGTCTTCAGAGGGGAAATATACATTTAAAAAGCAAGTGCTCTGAGGCCAAAGACAGTTAAAGCTTCTCACCCTTTTTACTCATAGTTAAGAGACCCGCAAACAAGGTGATAAAAGTACCCAGTAGCTGAAACAGAAGTGAAATCCTCTCATCTTTACACAATATGACTAGAAATAATATGAATGAATTCTAGGACAGCCAGGGATATGGGAGTCCCTTGCTTAAATAAATAAATAAATAGATAAATAAATAAATAAGAGATAAATAAATAGCAGAGGTTGTGGCAGATTCCTTCAGTCTCAGCAAGCATGAGGCAGAGGCAAGATCTCTGAGTTTGAGGCCACCGGGTCTGCAGTGAGTTGCAGGTCGGGCAGGGCTGTGGAAATCCTGTCACAAAAAAAAACTGAAGAAAAACAAACAAACAAGCAAACCTCCAAAGGGCTCCTAAAACCTCACTGCAGCCATTACCTCCGCTATTTCAGGCCCATTTCGTTCTCCCTAGTACCCAGTCTCCCTGCTGTCCTCTCCATGACAGCTTCCCTCCTATATTCATGTATCCTGACCGGTAACTCGACTGTAGCAGCCTGGAGGAGACAGCAACTGAGGAGACCGCGATAAACAGACTCCATCCCACACAGAAGCAGCCACTTCGCTCGCCCTTCCCTGGGCCACAGAGCTAAACACAAGGCACTTTTCCTGCCATGGGCCGATGGCGATCGATGATGTCAGGCAAAGTGCAAAAGCCTAAGTCTGGTCGCGGTCCACTGATGTCCCTGCAGCAGGTCTGTGTGTGCACTGTGCCTACCTTGTTTCTTGGGCACAGTGGATTTTTCCAGGGGAATTTCAACAAGAAAGAGTCTGGTGGCTGAAAGCTGCTGAATAGAACAAAGAAAGGGAAGGAGTGAGTGAGGCCTGAAGTAGATTTCATGGGAGTGCTCGGGAAGAGGCCAACAATGAAGGGTAAGTGGGATGGGAGACACGAAATTGGGATGGGTGACAGTGTAGAGGTTGGGGAACTGGAAGCTGAATCAGGGATACCTGTCACTACAGAGTCCCTAGACAACTTCCAGGGAGTTGATTCAGAGTACACAACAGCAATTGAGGCCCTGAGTGTGAATCGCCCCACTCAGTCTGTAAGCTGAAATAGATGTCAGGATGAGTGTGTGATATCCCAAGGGAGCTAGTGCTGCTCAGGAGAACGAGAAGAGGTGCATCCAAGGCTGTTAGCATGTCCTGGCCACTGCCTTCCTGGATAACTATTTCTCCCCTCCATGTTCCTGGCTTTTCAGCCTTCCTCTTATAAAAACCTTCCTAGGCACAGTATCACAATCCAAAGCCGTTGGTATTTGAACAGAAAAGAGATGAGCCAGGCAGGGAAGGTAAGCATGCACCGATGCAACGGATCAGTAGCAAACAG